TATCGAGGCGATGATCCACAAGGGACGACGTGTTAGGAGATGGCTAAGGCTTTGTAAAGCTTGAGGGGATGCAGCTACCGAGGCGATGATCCACAGAGGACTTCGTGTCAGGTACGCATAAACTTTGTGAAGCTGTGAGGAGTCCATCTGTCACAGGTGAGCTGACCTACAGAAGACGACACGTTGGGAGATGGCTAAAGCTTTGTAAAGCATAAGAGGGGATACAATGACCGTAGTGATGACCCACAGGGGACTTCGCTTCAGGTGTGTCAAAGATTTGTGAAGCTGTGAGGAGTCCAACTGTCACCGGTGCGCTGACCCATAGGGGACGATGCATTGAGAGATGGCTAAGGCTTTGTAAAGCTTAAGAGGAAACACAGCTACCGAGGGATGATCCACAGAGAACTTTGCGTCAGGTGCGCATAAGCTTTGTAAAGCTGTGAGGAGCCCATCTGTCACCGGTGCACTGACCCACAGGGGACGACGCGTTGGGAGATGGCTAAAACTTTGTAAAGCTTAAGAGGAAATGTAGCGATCGAGGCGATGATCCATAGGGGACTTTGCGTCAGGTGCACATAAGCTTTGTAAAGCTGAGTAAGGGGCTCATTTGCTCGATCTGAGGCACACATTTCTGACGTTAAATGATTTGACAGCTGTCGTATATTTCCAAGGCGACAGTTGCGTGTGATGCCCATTCCCAGAAAGGGCTGCTGTGACTACTTATTGTAGACGGTTGATGGTGATCGAGGTAACGCGTTCTACGTGAGCGTGAAGGCCATAGTTAGATCCTGGGCGTAGATCAAATCTAGTGTTTCATTTCAACGGCCTAGATTGATTGCATTCGAATTCAACGATGGAGATCGGCTAGGATGTCCTATAAAAGGCGGACTTAAGTGTTTGGGGAGTTTTTCACTTTTGCGAAAACAGAAACTCCATTTGCTCTCAAAACTCTTGCATTTTCCGGTGTTCTTCGTGTATTTTCCAGCGTTATTCAAGTTTTTTTCGACGAAAACTCCAATTTTTGGCTACTCTACAGCGTGCCCTGACCATTTCCGGTTGTGGAACCCCCATTTCGTGAGTTTCAGTAAGTATTTGACATTTTTCATTTCTGAAAAAATGGCTTATGAGGGTAGTGGTAGCTCGAGAAGGGGGCTGGAATTAGTACGAATGGACGAGCCCATTCTGGCGACCTCCTCTAAAATTTTCGAAGTGATAATAGGAGGGTGAGAATATTTGGAGGAGGCCTGATAGCCCAGTAGACACGTCTGTGCATTGGGGGGTGTCGAATTACCCTTCTAAGTTGAAAAGTGCTGACTTCAATAGACTTAGGGTGGAGTATAGGATTCCAGACAATATAGATCTGATCCTACCCGAACCCGATGAGGGCCTGCTACCCCAGGCCAGGATGCATGGCAATTAATAAAGCAATTCTTAGGGCTGGCCTTAGGCTCCCGATCCATCCTTTTTTCCGCCTAGTGCTTAGGTCTTATGGTTTAGCTTCGACCCAGTTGAACCCGAACTCCTGGAGCCAAATGGTGGGCTCCTGGATGTTGTGAAAAGAAGCATCGCTTGGGGTAGAGATGCCCTTTTCTGTCTTCCAGACCCTCTACATGCCCAAGGTAGTGGCTGGGGATGGGCTGGTATTACCTGACCTCATTAGGTTCCCATACTCCATTCGTACTCAATCTGTCGAGCTCCGTTAAAGAGTGGAAGAGCTCGTGGTGCTGGGCTGCTGGGAGATAGAACACGATGGAAGGAGACCTCCTAGCGCCTTTTTTTACAACCTCGAAGTATCTACACTTAGTCAGTACTGGTTGCTTTGCATTTATGTTTATTCTTCTTCGGTTCAGATCCTAATTGATATTTGTTTGCTTTTGAAGGTACTCTTCCTCTGTGTGAGATATCCACCGACGACTTTGATATCATCTGCATCATTTATCAGCTGACTCCGAAGAAGAGGTCATACCACCAGCTGATTAGGAAGAACATTCACTTCGTGACGCACGATCTAACGACTTCTGAAGGTAAAATTCCCGAAGTGAATACTCTAGTAATTTTTCAGACCCTTTACACTTGTAATAATTTACCTTTTTATTTGCAGATAACTTTAACAAGAAGATGTCTCTAAGGCCTGATTTCAAGACCATCCAGAAGATGATGGCCGAGGCTAGAGCCTTGAAGATCTTCTCCTCTGCATATAAAAAGCAGATGGAGGATCTGGTGGATGGCAGCAAGAGGCTCCAGCCTCTGACAAAAGAGGAGGTGGTGGAGGATTCGGAGGCCAACTTGCTGCGGAAGGGTAAGAAGACTGTTGGCCCTTCGAGGCGCCCAACAGTGGCCAGGCCGCCTCCAGTCCTGAAGCAGACCACCATACCTACTAGGGTGGCCATCCCAGAGAGAACACCTGTACCCTCCGAGGCTTCCCCTACCCCGGCTACAGCTCTAGTTGCTGTTGTTCCAATTGCCCAAGTTCCGGGACAGTCGAAGAGGAAGAGAGCCCGTCCTTCAAAGGAAGAAGACTTCTTGAGCACTAATCCAGAGGAGCCAATGAAAGAGGTGCTGGAGGCTCTTCCTTCGAAAATAGCGGCAATGGCGATGGTCCACAACAAGTATTGGATGGAGGAATGGAGAGACCACATTACCGCTTGTACCGCCGAAGACCTCATTGCTGCCAACAGTGCCTGTGTGGCCCGGGCTCTAAGCACAAACATCCAACTTGAGGGCTTGGTGAAAGACCTCAATGCTAAGAGGAGGACATCGCCAAGCGCCTTAAGGAGGCGATGTATTATGGGAACGCGATGTGGGAGGCCCGGGCCAAGGCCTTGGAGGAAGAGAAAGCAAGAAAAGAAGTAAAGGCCCAACTGGCAGCTGCTAAGGAGGAGATTGAGCGGCTGAAGAAGGAGCTCTATGAAGTGGAGTGCTAGGTGGCTGCAATGACCAGAAGGGTGGATCATGCCAATGAGTGCCACCGACTCGCCACGGAGGCTCTGAAGGCCTCCAATAAAGAAAAGCTAAACTGAGACACAGGGCTGAGGCCCAAGCTGAGGAGATTGCCTTCCTGAAGGGGGAGATGAAGTCGGCTGGGGAGATGGCGGTGTAGAACTTTATCGACCATTTTGAGGAGCACTTCCTGTATGACGACTTTACCAATTATTGGGCCTCTTGGAGTGTCCAAGGGCTGTTGGGTCAGCTAAAAGAGGTCCATCCTACTCTGGATATATCGTCTTTGAAGGCAGAGTTCGGTGGGCCTATTGGAGGCTGGCCTGACAGGTTTGTTGAGGCTGGCGCAGATGATGCCCCAGTAGAATAGGGTCATTCCTGTAATGGCTTTGGCCTCTTTTGTAATTCAATTTCAAATGAATGAAATGAAAATTTTTGTTTAAGTATTATTGCTTCTGCCTTTTCATTGTGTTGAGCTGTTTATACTTGAGTATATGAATGAAAAACACTTAAGCAAACAATAAACACCACTTACTGACAACCAGTCGATAAAAGGAGGTCGGAACAATAACATATTACATAACCGAGGCAACAACTCATTAACTGATTTGACATAAAGAGCTGAAGTATCATTACTTAGAGGTTACATCATCCATCACTAAGGCAATTTCAGCACTTAGTAAGATAGGGAAGTTACAAATGAGATCGGATTGTGACAGACACATAATAGACAGCATCGAGATCGGATGGGAACATACGCTCATCATTGATAGACTTTCTCAAGTGTTCGATGTTCCATTGATGAGGCAGTACTCTCCCTGTCATATCTTCGATTTCAAAAGTATCAGGTCAAGACTCCTTGCAAATGTGATAAGGACCCTCCCAATTTGGTCCAAACACTTTGGCCCCAGTTGGCTTTGACGATTGGAAGACCCTCCTAAGGACGAGGTCCCCCAGTCGAAGAGTTCGATTTTTGACTTTGGAGTTGTAATAGCGGATATCTTCCTATGATACTTGGCCAGTTTTACTTGGGAGGTATCCCTCCTTTCTTCGAGGAGGTGGAGTTCGCTCATTCGAATTTCGTCGTTACCGATCTCATTGAAGTGTATCCGACGATGCGATGGGACCCCTACCTCTACAAGGCTCATGGCTTCGGCTCCGTAGGTCATCGAGAAGGGTGTCTTCCCTGCAGCGGTTCGGCTAGTTGTATGGATGGCCCAGAGGACGTGGGCAAGCTCATCGACCCACGCTCCCTTCGAGGTGTCAAGCTTCCTTTTCAGGGTATGCTTGACAATTTTGTTCACTGCCTCAACTTGTCCATTTGCTTAGGGATGATGGGGCGTTAAGAAATCCTGTTTTATCCCTAGTTCCTTGCATAAGCCTCGCATCTTCTTGTTGTCGAACTGTTTCCCGTTATCGAACACTAAGGAGTGAGGAATGCCAAACCTACAAATGATGTTCTTCCAGACGAACTTTGTAGTATTCGCCTCGGTGATCTTGGCAAGACGTTTAGCCTCGACCCACTTGGTGAGTAGTCAATGGCGACAATGACAAAAGTTGCGCTTCCTCTTCCTTTTGGAAGTGGACCAATAAAGTCGATGCCCCATTTGGTAAATGGCCATGGACTGGTGACCACGAAGAGGCTTTGAGAAGGCTGTCTTTGAATATTTGAGAAGCGCTGTCACTTATCACATTTCTGAACGAATTGGCAAACATTCCTTTTCAGGGTTGGCCAGAAGTAGCCTTGTCGGAGCACTTTGTGTGCCAGAGCCATTTTCCCGGAGTGATTTTTGCTGATCCCCTCGTGGATCTCCCTGAGTATATACGTGGCTTCTTCCCCTCCTATACATCATAGAAGTGGTGATGCAAAGCCTCTTTTGTAGAGGACATCCTCATGTAGGACGAAGTGTGCAACTCTCATTCTTAACTTCCTCGCCTCGCTTCTGGAAGTTGGTAGTGATTGATCCTTAAGATAGGCCATGATAGATTGCATCCATACTGGGGTACTTGCTATCCATAACAATTCTTCACCTCCGAAGATGGAGGGCTTCGACAAGCGTTTAATGGGGACTATCTTTAGCAGCTCTGAGTCTTTGCTGCTGGCTAATTTTGACAAGGCGTCTGCGTGAGTGTTCTCGAGACGTGGGACTTGGATCAATTTCGAACCTCTCGAAATGTGGGATTAGGTCCAGGATCAATTTTAAATATGCAGCCATGCTACTGTCTTTGACGACAAAGTTCCCGTTGACCTGACTCACCACAAGTTGAGAGTCGCTGTTTGCCAGGAGCCTTCTGACTTGCATTTCTTTTGCGAGCCTAAGGCCTGCTAGAAGGGCCTCATATTCGACAGCGTTGTTCGAGGCTTTAAAGTCGAACCTTACTGTGAAATTTAGCTTGTGGCCTTCCGGGCTTTTCAAGATGATCCCAGCTCCGGAGCCAGTCTTTCCTGAGGATCCATCCACGAACAAGCGCCATGTTGGGGGCTCGGCTGGTTCCATTGCCACCTCCATTTCTGGCGCTATGGAAAATTCAGCCACAAAATCTGCAAGGGTTTGTCCCTTGATGGCATGTCTAGGTCGGAACAGTAGGTCGAACTCACTGAGATCAATTGCCCATTTTAGCAGGCGGCCCGAAGCTTTCATTCTCTGTAGTACCTGCTTTAATGGGAAGTTGGTGAGAACTTCGATTGAGTGGGCCTGAAAGTATGACCTCAGTTTCCTTGACACTGTGATGAGGGCGAGTGCCAGTTTTTCCATGTCCGGGTAGCGGGTTTCCGTCGGGAGTAGTGCTTTGCTGACATAGTATACTGGCAATTGATGGTCATCTTCTTCTCTAACTATGAATGCGCTGACCGCCTCACCCGAGACCGCCAAGTATAGTAGTAGTGATTCCTGTGGTTTAGGTTTAGATAACAGGGGTGCCTCTCCTAAGTACTTCTTCATCGGTCCATTGGAACTTCTTCCCTTGCTTCAACACTTTGAAGAAGGATATGCTCGTATCAGTGGCTCTGGAGATGAAGCGACTGAGCGCAGCTATCCGACCATTGAGGCTCTGGACCTCGTTCGGCTTCTAAGGCGACCTCATTTTCAGTAAGGCCCTAATCTTTATCGAATTTTTCTCGATTCTCCTTTAGTTCACAATGTACCCCAAAAATTGACCCAAAGCTACGCCGAAGGTACATTTGAGGGGGTTCAATTTCATTTTGTATTTCCTAAGAATCTGAAAGGTTTGGTCGAGGTGACTTACGTGTTCATTCACCTGGAGACTTTTGACAAGCATGTCGTCCACGTAGACTTTCATGGTTTTGCCAATAAGTTTGGCAAACATCATGTTGACCAGCCTCAGATATGTAGCTCCGGTATTTTTCAATCTGAAGGGCATGACTTTGTAGCAGTATAGTCCTCTGTCTGTGATGAATGGCGTGGCCTCCTCATCAGGTCGAAACATGGGTATCTGGTTGTATCCTGAGTACGCATCCATGAAACTCAAGAGTTTATGTTCGACAGTAGAATCCACAAGTTGGTCTATCCTCGGCAGTGGGAAGCTATCCTTAGGGCATGCTTTGTTTAAGTTCATGAAGTCTACGCACACCTTCCACTTTTCGCTAGGCTTCCTCACTAGAACCGAGTTGGATATCCACTTCGGATAGATGGCTTCTCTGATGAAGCCGCTGCGGCTAAGCTTGTTGACCTCTTCTTTGAGCACCTCGTACCCCTCCGGGTTGAGGGCCCGTCTTTTCTGCTGACATGGAGCATAGGAGGCGTTGATGTTTAGGCGATGGCAACTGATCCTTGGGTCTATCCCTACCATGTCTTCATGCTTCCAAGCGAAGACATCCATGTTCCTTTTCAGGAAGCTAATCATTTGTTTTTTCGCTTTAGGGGACAATGACTTTCCTATTTGCAGGACCTGACTGGAGTTCTCTGGGTTGGCGGAGAAAGTTTCAAGTTCTTCCATTGGGGTCGTGTTCTGTTCTGAGCCAGTTATTTGGGGGTCTAATTCTTCGAGAGGGTGCCCTTCTTCAAAGGCCTCTTCCATGTCAACGTCTTCCTCCTGCTCGGAGGTATGCCCTATTTCAGGGGCGTCGTGCATTTCCACATCCAGGTCGAGTTCTCTTGCAATTTTCGTTATGATCACATTAACAGTGCGGGGCTCTCATTTTCGTAAAGAGTTTAGATAATATGCTCTGGAGCCCATCTGGTCGCCTCGAACCGTAGCAATTCTATGCTCAGTTGGGAACTTCATACACAGGTAATGTATGGAGGTGACAGCCTAAAGATCTTTAAAGGCGGGTCTACTCAATACTCCGTGGTAGGCTGACCTATGGTCTACTACCAAAAACTCCATGAAATGTTGGGCCACTAGGGGAGCTGAACCCATCTCAACGAGCAGAGTAATCCGTCCTTGTGGGATTATGTTGTCTCCAGTAAATCCAAACAGTGGGTCAGTCATGGGGATTAGCCCGTATTCAAATTGCATTTTGTCGAAGGTAGAGCCAAACAGTATGTTCACCGAGCTACCATTGTTGACAAGCATGCGTTTCAGTCTGTTTCTAGCTACTACGACTCTTACTACCAGTACGTCACAGTGGGGGTGGTGAACTCCTTGTGTATCTTCTTGGGAGAAGGTAATCGGGGCCATCCTGTTGGCTTCTTGGGATTGGTCGACGATGTACGTGAGCATTGGCGGATCCTTTGCTTCCCTTGTGTAGCTCCTTTGGGCATTCCTAGCGTTGCCGCCGATGTGAGGTCTCCCGATGATTGTGTCAATTTCCCTTATGATTTGGCCTCCAGAAAATGGGGCCTCATTTCTCTATCCGGACTCTCCTCTGTCCCTCGATCCTCTTGGGTGATTGATTTCTCTGTCTCCTATCACCCCTGTTCGAGGAGGTAGATCTGCGAGGATGTTCGTCCCTCCTGGAGGGGTGTAGGTTTTCCCATCTGAGCACCGCGGAGCGTCTCTGCATTCGCTGGTGTCATGTCCATAGAGTTGGTGGAAGTTGCAGAACCTTGCCCCTTCTAAGGGCCTGTTTGACCACTTCTTCTTCTTCTTTCGACTATGATCAGTACCCCTAGATGGTCCTACCTCAGCAGGGGCATTCTCGTATGCCAATATTGGCACTGCATTTAGCGTAACAAAAGCTAGTTCCTGTCCAGACGTGGGAGCTATTGTATACCCTGCCTAGGTCCATTGCTGGGTGACAAGGTGCGCTGCAGGTCCTCGACCTACCTGCCTCTAAAGCGGAGGGAGTCCCCGTGCAGCACGATTTCGGTGATCAATAATCTCTTCACTGACAATCTCAACTCTCATCATTTCCACCAGTTCGTCATAGGTGGTTGGATTCTTGCTGCGTACATCCCTCTAGAACAAAGTGTTCATGTTGAGACCATCTTTCAAAGTTGAAAGGGCTTCTCTATTAGCGACCTGCTCGCAGTAGGTAATCTCGTCCGTAAACCTGGCGAGGTAGCTTTTCAGCGTTTCTCCAAGGGCTTGCCTCATATCTTGCAGGCATTGCACTAGGGCCTCTCCTTCTCTATGTGAGAGGTACTGGTTCAAGAAGACATTTTTTAGCTCTGGCCAACTCCTAATGCTTAGAGGAGGCAGCCTGTTGTACTACACTTCAGCAGCTCCGGCTAGTATTAGGTGGAAGGCTCTGCATTTTAAAGCAGGCGAGGCTCCCCTGAGACTCATCCGTGTCATGTACTTCGTGAGGTGCTTCGTCGGGTCCCCTTTTCCTTCATACTTGGGGATTTTAGGTGGTATGAAGTTTGCATGCATTAGGGAGCCTCGGTCTCCCTTGAGAAAGGGAGATTATCATCATCGTCATCAATCTCGTAAGATCGACACGGCCCTTCAGAGTCCTCTTCATCTTGCGTGTTCTGGGGGGTGGAGGTGCTCTTCCTCGGCTACCCCAATCAACCAAGTTTCTTCTCTCCTTCCTATTTCTAGGTAGAAGGGGCACTTGTTCTTGCTCTCCCCCTTGTCGAACTAAACTCTCCACTGAATGGACCCTATTACTAGGGTCGCGCCCTATCCGGTCAAAGACACAGAATGACCTTTGTGCTTCATATTTTGCTGGGAAGTTGTCCCCGAACTGCGATTCTACTGGTTGGCTCCCTTGCACATAGGATGTGACTTCTGTACTTACTTCTCTCTCGAAAGGGGGTTCTCTGTGCTGGCTCATATGGCATCGGGAACGAGATGCAGGGACTTCACGAGCTGGGTAAGATTCTTAGGGCACTTGGGCACCATTGTGACCTTGGGCTCGCATGAAGAATTAATGCATTGCCACATTCTGAGCTGCGATCTCCCTCATGCCCGTAGCTATTTGGGCCATTCTTTCAGTGAACATGGCTGTTCTTTCACCTCGGAAACGCCGGTGATGGGGTCTTTGGTGAGTGACATTGTTTCGAAGCACTTCTTCTTCAGAGGCATCCATGGCGGGGTTTGCGTCTATACCTTTTTCAAGGGTGATGAGGATCTGGGTTGTAATTCGACTCTGTTCTTTTTCAAGAATGTTACATTTTCAGGGTAAGTCAATGATTTTCCAGCGACTTTTTCGATGGAGAATGTAGAACTTTGAATGGGAAGTTTCCCACAGACGACGCCAATTTGTTGACTTCGCGAATTGGACCCTCCACGTGGCCAATCGATAGCTGCTCCACGTAATCCTTCCTGCGCACAGTCAACGCATGGTCAGATACACACGGTCGGAACTAGCAGGGGTGGCGGCGGCCGCATACACTCCGACGGTTGAGTTAGCTTCTAGTGATCGAAAAAGTACCAAGGTTGTGCAAAAAGGATGGGAGGAGAATGTATATTTGCTTGTTATGGAGAATTAAGTTGCATGAATTTCATTACCTTTTCCTCTTATCAAACCTTGGGTATTTATAGTTGAGGAGAACCGTTAGATGTGGGACACGTGTATGCATCTGACGATGTGAGGTGTTTGTTCATAGGCATCAATCAACCGCTTCTATAGAGCGGGCAGGTAATAACTTCTCCCGAGTTGAGTTGACATAAAGTTGTTACGTCACGTCAACTAGGCCCATGAAGACGTCCAATCAATTAAACTTTGGGGGAAGAAATNTTTATAATGAAAACAAAATCTAGAATACGACTTAGCATGTCTAGTCTGATACTCTTCACCCTTGTTTGACCTCCATTAATTTTCATTTCATTTTTTTTTCTTCTATTTTCAACCACACAATTTTTCATAAAATAATATTACACGTAAATCGAAAATTTTTCTTTTTTTTTCAACCACTCATTTTTCAAAAAAACACTACTCCACATATTTTCATTTCCAGAAATAGGGGCCAAACGGGGGCGAAGTTGCATCTACATCTTTAACGAAAGCTCAATAAGTAATTTAAGCATCTTAAGTTGTACAATATTTTTCTTTATGTTGATTTCCTTATATTTTTTGAGGACTCTTTTCATCTATTGTTTAATTGAGCCCCCTTTTGAGTCATTTTTAAGAAAAAACTCAATTTTCTTCCATCACATTTTCAACCATACATTTTTCTAATAAAATAATTTTACTTGTAAATCTAATTTTTTCTTACTTTTTAACTATAGACTTTCTAAAAAATTATTATTACAAAATTGATTTTAAAAAAAAAAAATGGGGCTCAAACAAACGTATTAGAAAAGTGAATCATATGAGTTGTAAACCATATATTCAATAGTTCAAACTCTGTCTCTCAATAATTTGCGGTGTTCTAAAAAGCGTAATATATAACAAGGCGTAGAGGCCAATTTTCAGGTTAGACGAGGCCTAAGGGTAAAAAATGGTTTTCTTATTTTAATATTATTTAAATTTTTAATCTATCTAAAAATTATTTAAAATAATACCTATCAAACATATAAAATAATAAAATACTATTTTGTTAAAAAAAAAACCTCATGTAGGTGTCAAAAAAAGCACGAAAAAGTGCGAGGTGGGGTGTTTGTGCCCGCTTCTCATCTAGGCACTGTTAAAAAAAAAAAAAAAAAACCTCATGTAGGTGTAAAAAAAGCACGAAAAAGTGCGAGGTGGGGTGTTTGTGCCCGCTTCTCATCTAGGCACCACCTTTTAGAATAGTGATAATTAGTAATCTTTTTCCTTCTTTTGTTTTGATTTGATTTTCAGATCAACAAGCTATAAGCTCCTAAAATTTCGATAAAAATAGAAAACAAAATTGGAATACCAACATTATTTTCAGTGTAGAAATCCAGGTCTGTGGTAATGGATCATCCTTTTAAATAATTCAATACAATATGGATAACTTAAGTAGCGGACAATTGCGATTTTGCAAATTTATTGAATGTGATTATGATGAGAGAGAGAGAGAGAGAGAGAGAGAGAGTGTTTGGCTGTTACTCTCTCTTTTAAAAATTAAAATAAAGTTTTTTAAAATTTTATTTTAAACTTTGACTCATTAAGGTAAATAGCATTTCACTTTTAAGAAGTTTTTTCGATATGCGCTAAACATATCTCCCTACATCCTCAATCGCTTGAAATGTGTCGCAGTTGTAGTGACATTGTTGATGATAACTTCAAGAAACTTCAATTTTGACGACACAATTTTCTATTGTAAAAAGTCATTTTTTTGGTTGTTTCGCCAAAAAAAGGTCCTCAAGATACTTATTAAGACTTGTTATCTTTGTTAAATTTTTTGTTGAGTTCACAATGTATAACAATCATCCATTTGGATGATAGATTGGAAGTTAAGATTCATTTTAAATTTTTTTTATCTCAGCAGGCTATCTTGTAGCCTGTTTGGTTTGAATTAAAAATCTAATTTTAATTTAAGTCAAAGTCAAACAATCAATATTAACTACATCTTTCACGGATCCAAAACTTTTCAATCACACATTTTAAACAATATAGTAAAAATTCTAATTTTAATCCACTTCAAACACTCTCCCGTCTAAAAATATTTGGAGATATATAAGTTAAGAAAAAGACATTTTCGGCCTTCTTTAATTTTTGCTGGTAAAAAATCCGAAGTTACATAAATTTAAATTATCCATAATTTTAATAGATTTAATGGGTTATTAGAGTTTCCATAACTTTTTTTCATAAGACATAAAGCCGTTATATACATTTCTTTTCAAAAATATTTCACACAAATTACTCCAACTTCGAATTCATATAAAAGTCACATTCAGAAATTACATTGCAAATTACTGTTGAATTTCTAATTGAGAGTATCAAATTGATCGCTATTGTTGAGACATAATTAGACCACAGTTTATATGGTCGCATTCAAGGAGATTAATTACATATTAGGCCTAGTTTTATAGGATTTATTTGGGAATATGATTGAATAGTATTTTTTGGAGAATGTGTGATTAAAAAGTAAGAAATTTTTATTGGTTTATGTGTAAAATATTTTATTGTGTGAATGTGTGATGGTGAATGATACTATAGCAAACAATTTAAATTTTTAAAGGATGACAAACAAAGGCTTAGTGAATTAGCGTTGCAAATCAGAAATTTCGCACTTTATCGCACTGATGATTTTTCTTGGTGATGGAGAGGACACGCTTGATTCTGCCTTAGATTTTGGATTTTGGATTTACTGTTGAGTTGGGTGGTAGCCACAATCAATCCGATGAAGATATTAGATACAATTATGTTACTTGTATATTTTTTTTCCACAATTTTGATTGATAATCATACTTTACAATATCACATTCATCTATTTGAAAAACTATTTTTAAAATTAATGATCTAAATTTTGACAATATTAATCACAATTGTACAAATAGATTAATTCTACAAGATAACAGGAAAGAAAATTATGTAAAAAATGGAATGATGGCGCAAACAAATAAAAATATATATTTCTTTGAGTACCTTGTTTATTCAACTTTTGTATTGTCTTTAGTTTGGACTCCACAAATAAGATTCCACACAGGTGTGGACTTTTCTATACATCCATTGTTCTATTTGAAAAGTGAATCAAATGAGCTGTACTCCAACATATATTCAATAATTCAAACTCACACTCTCTTCCCTCAATAATTTCTAGTCTGTTCCGTATTCTAGTTTCGAACTCCATTTTCAGATCTACAAGCTCGGAAGCTATATACTCTAGTTTTTCTTATTTCTTTAAAGTTTGTATTTAATGCAAACAATTGGTAGAATCTATTAGGGGGTGTTCTCTTTGTGTTTCAATTTTGTGTTTTGAGTTTTAAATTCATTTTGAGTTTTGTGTTTTGAGTGTTTGTTTTGAAATTGTTGAAAATGCGTTCTTTTTGTTAGTTTCTCAAAACAAAAAAAATGAAATTTTTTTTTGAAATTTTGAGAATCACCACAAGATCACCTCAAAAAAAAAAAAAAAAAAAAAAAATTTACACTGAAAACGGTGTTTCCCGCGTTTTCAGTTTTTTCAAGTTTTACACTGAAAACGCTCAAAACGACAAAAAAGTCGTTTTGTGTTTTCTTCACAAATTTTGTTTTCGTTTTCGAAAATTCGTTTTCGAAAACGGGAAAGAGAACACGTTTTCACCGTTTTGAAAAATCGAAAACAGAAAACGGCCCGAAAACGATAAAGAGAACAGGGCCTTAGGCTTTTAAACACAAATATTTTTTTCACTGCAATCGCGCATTCTTTCCCTATGTCATCAGGGGAGGAAGAAACAGGCAGAGACGAAGAGGAGTACTCTTCACCAGACGAAGATACACTGTTTAGTGGGCCAATAGCATTCCTTATGATTGTGTCTGAATATATGTCAACTTTTTCCTGCCAACTTGGGCTTCCATCAAACGATTTTTTAGATTTTCCGAACCAGCTTACACACACAAAAGATATTGAAAATATCAGACACTATCTCCAACAACTATTGTCATGTAGGAAAAAGCTTGAGGAACTCTTTAATGTCCCAAACCAGCAAAGCTCGTCATGTCCTAATGAAGTTGTTGCAGTCTTTATCAATTTTCTACCCCGACTGGTAGAATCCATCCTATGTTTCAAGTCAGAATACATCGCTTTCCAAAATCTCCGGACAGAGCTAGGATTTCTAAATACTTTTCTTGGAGATACATCAATGCATTTGCAGCCCACCAAGAATATAGTGATAGATATCCAAGATGTGGTTAATGAGGTAGGAAATCTCTTTTATTCCTTGTTTTTCACCTTTGTAGTATTCTCGGTCACTCGGAAGGAAGCCACCACTATTGCTTTTACAAGGCTTAATTTGACGGATATTGAAGATGTGGTCAACGACGTTCTTGAGGACAGGCCATTGCAGATCACTACTGAGGAAGAAGAAATCAGGAAAGCAGTGGTGGATATCAATGCTCTGGTCCATGAGATAGGAAGTTTCATAGTTTTCACCAAGAATGATCAAGTCCCGGAGAGTGGAACAGTTGATCTAGCTCTTTCCGGTTTGTTACCAAAGTTCGAGCTCTTGAAATCAAAGATCAAGGAGCATTGCATCACAGTCTCAAAGATGCCAATTGATATGGCTCCAAAGACTGGTGTGGTTTCACTCTTCATTGTTGATTCCGTTCTTGTTGATCTCATGGACCTAATAAATAACAAGTCTGACTGGATTCTTGGTCAGAACGATCAAATTGTAATGCTACATGAGGAACTATTTTTGTTGGGATCTTCCGTCACCAGTATAGCTGTGCAGCAAGAAGCAGAGCAGCAAGAACTCATAATAAAAACCAGAGACGTAGCATTTGAAGTTGAATATGTTATCAACTCGTTTCCCCCTGTTTGGTATCTCGCCCTCAGACTTCCTCAGCTCATTGAGAAGATTCAGCTTATTACGATGGCCATCAAAGAAATGAAGAACGATATTGATGTGGCTGGACTGCGAGAAGTTGCAAAATATCCGGATGAACACTTATCCTTACAATCTGAAGAAACTCCCATTTTGGAAGATGTTATTGTGGGGTTTAAAGATGTCGCACTCCAAATTGCGGAACAACTTGTTAGAGGAAAGGAGCAATTGCAAATTATCTCTATATCTGGAATGCCTGGAGTTGGTAAGACAACTTTAGCAAATAAACTATATAATGATCCATCCGTAGTCTATCATTTTTACAAGCGAGCCTTGTGCGTTGTTTCTCAAACATATAATAAGAAAAATATTTTGATGAACATTTTGAGCTGTATAAAAAATGTTAAGCAAGAACCAATTGCAATCAAGGACGAAGAAAGTTTGGCTGAAGGTGTTTACAAAAGTTTAAAAGGAAGGCGATATCTCATCGTCCTGGATGATATATGGGATACAAAATTATGGGATGATTTGAAAAGATTTTTTCCAGATGATGGAACTGGGAGTAGAATCTTATTCACCACTCGGAATAAAGAAGTATGTTTGAAAGTGTCACCTTATTGTGTCATGAATACACTTCCTTTTCTGTCAGAAGTTGAATGCTGGGATTTATTACAAAAGAAAGTGTTCAGAGATAAAAGTTGTCCTCAAGAACTGCTAGACGTTGGGAAGAAGATTGCAAAAAAATGTCACGGCCTACCACTTGCCGTGGTCGCGATAGCTGGAGTTCTTGCAAATATGGAGAATAAAGAATACTTGTGGCAAGAAGTTGCAAGAAATTTAAGTTCACATTTATCCAAAAATTCAGACTACTACATCCAGATACTAGAACTTAGCTATAATCATTTGCCAATGCACTTGAAACCATGTTTTCTTTACTTTGGAGCATTCAAAGAGGACGAGGAAATCCACATACAAAAGTTGATATCATTATGGGTTGCTGAAGGATATATAAAGAAGGAAGAGCAGAAGAGTTTAGAGGATGTGGCATTAGAATATGCGATGAAACTCATTGATAGGAGCCTGGTACTTGTTGCTGAAAAAAGATTTGATGGTTCAGTCAAAACTATTAAGATTCATGATCTATTGCGAGAAATGTGCTTGAGAATAGCTGAAGAAAATAAATTTTTGAAGATTGTCAATATGTAAGTTCTCTATTTCTCTTTTTCCTTCTCTATTCGTACATTTTTGTTTTAGTGCACTAATAATTGTGATTATATCTGATGATCGTATCACGCGTGATTATTTTTATATCAGTAATGTTGATGAATCTCATCCACTACCGTACTTCAGTGAAGTGGCGATGTATCAGAAATACCATTGTCTGAGTATTGTCTGTGGGGAAAATCCTACTCCCTCACTCCCTTTCGGCCCACATGTGCGCTCTCTTTTATGTCGTGGTGTTGCGTTGCCCACATTATTTGCATGCAGCTTCAAAGTTCTTAGGGTCTTGGATGTTTATAATAAATTTACAAGTTTTGTTGTAATCGGAATTGAACAGCTGGTTAACGTGAGGTACTTGGTACTTTCAGACACACTTCCACCATTGGAAAGCTTCCAGAGACTAGAATTTCTTGTTGTGATCAATTCATGTGGTATTGAAATAACGGATGTCCTCCTTAATATGATGAGTTTGAGACACATGCGTTTTGATGAAGGTGCACAATTCAGTGAGTCTATCTGCCGTCGAGCAATTAAGGAAAAGAGTTTCCAAATTAAAAATAACCTACAAAGCATTTCTTACCTTCAAGTTTTCGATAAAGCGGATGAGAAAATTTTGGGATGTTCACCCAATCTTCGCATGCTTAAGTGTTGGGTTGAATCTTCACACGGTTTTTCTTTCGACTTCCTTAATCAGCTCGAATATCTGAAGCTTGGGTCAAAAACAGTAGTTTCACTGCCCTTAAATATCAAGAAATTGACTCTAGTTGATACACACACGTCTCGGGAACAAATGGAGATAATTGGGAAATTGAAGTACCTTGAGGTTCTCAAATTATGTGATGTTTCTTTTGAGGGAGAACAATGGGATACTATGGAAGGTGAATTCCCAGAACTTAAATTCTTGAAACTCTCACGTGTAAAACTTGCAGAGTGGAATACCTCAAGAGATCATTTTCCAAGACTTCAACGACTAGCATTGCAATCTTGTGTCGATTTGAAGATGATCCCTCCCAGTTTTGGTGATATTCTAACGTTACAGATGATTGAGGTATTTAATTGTGGGAGAGCTATCAACAAGTCCGCTAAGAAAATTCAGGAAGAACAAGAAGACATGGGAAATGAAGATCTTAAATTCATAATCTCTAGGCCGTACTGGAAAAATTTAAGTGAAAGTGAATCTGAAGAAGAAAGCGAAGAAGAAAGTGTACGAGAAAGTGAAGAAGAAACAGAGCATTAGTTTTGCAGGTATACTACGTTTCCTTAAGAATTCCTTTTCATTATGTAATTAGATTTTGAACTTCTTCTTCTTGCAGGAGATACCTTTGGCAGCCTTCTGAGACATTTCTGACTGTAATAAGAGATAATCTCTTATTTTAGGCTCTTTCATGTTCTCATCTGGGTCCTGGGTCCTAGGTATTGTGTGTACTGCTAAATGAAACATCAAATAACTTCTATTGTATTTTGCCTCTATTTTTTTTTTTTTTGTGAAACCATGGTGAACTCTCTATTTCATGATCCTCTTTATGTTATTCTAGGAATTACTATCGAGCAAGGCGCCATTTCGGGGCATTTATTTCACAATACTTGACTATTTTAAAACTCGTGGGACACTTACAGATCACCTTAAAAGAGATTTGAGAGCTTAGCAAGTTGATTTAATTCACTGTCACATGGCCTTAAATTAACTTATGAAACATGAGTTGCATTTTAAATATTCATAATCATCAAGCAAGAATGAGTTTGTAAAATATTTGAATTTTGTATATGGTATGCTTTAAAATATTACTGTCTGGCAGAATTTGGATTTTGTTGAATTTGAACTCTAATTTAATCTATACAATTAAGATTGAAGATGATTTATGCAAATGATTTTAATCTATTTGGGTAGTAAACATTTCTCTATAACATGAGTCTTCTTGAGTGATAGATATTTCTGCCGGTCTTGAGATCCAAACAGTTTCGCTACACATCAACAAATGATTTATGATGTGTAAACCTTTTCAATCTGGTTGCAAGTTTAGAAGGATCATTTGTTCTTCTCAGCTGTACGAACCAAATATTCTAGTAGCTTTAAGGGTAGAAATAACTCTTGGTTCTACCTCATAAAGATAGTCCTTGAACAGATAGTCCTTGAACAGCACACTTTTCTTTGACGTTCAAACGATTTTCATCCTTTTTCAGATCTGATTTTGGTCGGGAATCACGCACCAATGAGCTTTGATACCATTTGAAGTGGAAGATGCCTCCAAGAAGGTATTTTCGAGCTCAATTAGTCAAACTCAACCTTATCAACAACCTCAACTCTACGACCCAAAACCACCATCACTTGTTCACTTCGGTCGCTACAGCTGTACCCACAAAGGACACAAATGCTCAGTGTTATTGCAATCGCAAAGGCAAGAAAAGAAAAAACGGGAAAAAAGTCGGTTGGAGCATAAAGTAAGAGCAGCGGTTTTTCACCAAGCAGAAACAATAACACGCTACTGTGAATGAGAAAGGAGTCAACATACATAGGTAGTTTATTAGGTGTGTAAACGAGTTAATACTTAAAGACAACAAAACAGGCCAAGTAAGGTAAATATTGGCCAACCTATATTAGCGTCTAGGAAGTGAGCGGGCCATGAGCGTCTTCAATTAAATTGGGCCACTTCCAATGGTCCCAAGTAATTTTTGGATCGAACAATTTCATTGAAGTGTTGATAATTAATTTAGTCATTTGATCAATGCCAACTGAAAATTTTCAATGAGTAACATCATTGTCTGAGATTTATTGGATATTAAATCCCAACACTATAAACTTAATATTCCACCAAAGATTAGGACTTTCATATGACGATTTTTCTATGAACCTATACGAGTGAGGGAAGCACACTACAAGGACGGTAAATTGTGGCTCGCTCTGTTAGTCATTTTCTATCAAAACCATAAAGAAAATTTGGAACACATCATTAGCGAATGTAAAACTGCAAAAATAATGTGGCAAAAGGAGCTATTAGATTATATGCAGACATGGTGATAGTAGAGAATTTGGACGTGTGATATTTATGTTCACTACGGTACCACGATCAACTCTTCAAAACTGCTGTGTTTTTCAACATATATGGAGCGAAGCGCAATGCATTGGTACCCAAAAAATGAAGATATGAATCATATGATCGGTTGCTTTCTGTTGATATTGGGCTTAATTTTCTTAATTCATTATAGCCTCCTTATAAATTTAGGTCAAAGTAAAACTTAACCATATGTTTTGTAGAACTTACAATTAATACATACCTTACATGCGTTTCTATCTAATTAAACCAAACAAGCAATAAATGTTTTCTTTTAAATGTTATCTTGATCGTTTTCTACATTATACACATGACATATTCTATATCATCAATTTGTCATGTATGTATGTAAACACATTTATCACATGATGGATTTGACAAAAATACTAAATACTTTACATGCTCAAAACAAAATGATTAATTCATAAATTACAATAAAAAGTGGGACATCTTATTGAAAAAAATTATAAAGTTGGCATACTCATCACTTGTTTGACCCAAATTATACAATCTTGGTTCAGTTTTTTGCCTTAGTGGCACAAAAAAAATATAAATCTGGTCATCACAATACTGAGACTTCTACTGAGGATGTCGCATGTATATTAGTAATCTGACATGAAAAAATTCGTTTTAGTTTCTCATAAGAATGAAAGCCTACAATAATGCAAAAACAATATCATGCGTGAGTGAGGAAACGAGTAAGAAGGTACGACTTTCTTTTTTAATGAAAATAATCATCTAGAATACGACTTAGCACGTTTACTCTTAGATACTCTTCATTGCATCTACAACTTTAACGAAAGCTCACAAAGTAATTTCCGGAGGTGTATTCAAGTGGGACTTTTGAAAATTTTGATTGACTTTTTTAAGTGATAACATCTAATTTCGTGGATCTTTTATAGACTTGTATAAAATTAATGGAAGTTTTTCGTAAACTTTTATATACTTTCATTTTAGAACCTTTAAATACTTTTGTAGAATTCAAAAGATTTTCATTTGAATTAGAATTCATGTGGATCTAGTACAATAATGTAAAATTCTCACATACGAGGTGGTAGTTCCCACAATTCCCCTTCCCCTTTCCTTCCCCTTCCTCTCCTCATATAATAAATAATATTTCAAAGAGAATAAAAAACTGTTTTTTTTTTTTTCACATTTTCAACCATACAATTTGCTAATAAAATAATTTTACATATAAATCTAATTTTTTTCTTACTTTTCAACCATAAACTTTTTAAAAAATTATTATTACAAAATTTATTCTTAAAAAAGGGGCTCAAACAAACGTATTAAAAAAATGAATCATATGAAGTGTACCCCACATATAGTTCAAACCCACTCCGCTCTTCCCTCTCTCTCAATAATTAGCAATGTTCTAAAAAGCTTAGAGCATGTTTGATACAGTTTGAAATCTAATTAAAATTAATTTTTTGATCGTTATTTCGCTATTTCAGTCGTCATTTTTGAATTTTTCTTTCACAGATAGGACTCGCTTTATCTCTAACGGTCAAAAAATTAATTAACAAAATCCTTATCAAACAAGCACTTAGGGTGTGTTTGATAGGGTGGAAATTCTATAGAAAATGGAATTGCAATTCCTTCTTTTTATTTTTTTGGTGTTTGATTGGCAAAAATTTTCTTGGAATTCATTTTCTACATTTTCATGCAACATAGATATTTTCCATGTTTTGGAGGCAGATTACTGTAGCATTTTTCTTTTTTTTTTTTTCATTTAATTTTTTTTGAAAATGAAAATAAAAATAAATTCTAAGAATTATTGTAAAAAAAATATTTCCCTTTGATTGGAAATTTTCATGTAAAACAAAATCAAATGAACACTAAAAGATAGATGATTTTCTTGATTTATTATTTTTTTTTTGGCAATGGAAACAAATTTCATTCCCAATACCAGTAAAATCTATCACTTTAATTGAAAATTTTCATGTAAAACAAAGCCAAACGAATATAAAAAAAACCTTTATTTCAACATTTTTCACGTAAAAAATTATATCTATCAAACACAATAATTTACAATTCATAGAAAAATAATTTCTAAACAATTCAATACTCTGAAATTCGTTTTCTTTTAACCTAATTTCCATCTTTGCAATCAAACGGACCCTTAATGTATAACAAGGTATACAATGTTTAGGTTAGACAAGGCCTAGGGGTAAAAAAAATAAAAATAATAAAAAAAATAGTTTTTTTAATATATTTTAATTTTTAATCAATCTAAAAAATATTTAAAATAATATCTGCCAAACATAAAAAATTATAAAATACTATATTGAAAAAAAAAAAAAAAAACTCATATAGGTGCGAAAAAAGCACGAAAAGCACGAGGTGGGGTATTATGTTCCCGCTTCTCACCTAGGCGCCACCTTTTAGAATAATGATAACTAGTAGTCTTTTTTCCTTTCTTTTGTTTTGGTTTGATTTTTGGATCAACAACCTCTAAAGCTAGCTGTAAGTTACTAAAATTTCGGTAAAGTAGAAAACATAATTAGAATACCAACATTATTTGCAGTGTAGGAATTCATGTCTATAGTAATGGATCATCCTTTTAAATAATTCAATACAATATGAATTAAATTTAGTAGCGGACAATTGAGGCAATTTTATTAAATGTGATTATGATAACATACAGAAAGAGAGCGAGTTTGGCTCTTTCTCTTTTAAAAATTAAACTTAAAATTTTAAAATATTATTTTAAATATGACTTATTATGATAAATAGCATTTCACTTTTAAAGTGTTTTTTCGATATGCCCTAAACATATCTCCCTATATCCTCAATTGCTTGAAATGTGTCACATTTGTAGTGACATTATCGATGATAACTACTAGAAATTTCACTTTTGATCACACAATTTTCTATAGTAAAAAGTCAATTCTTTAGTTGTTTAGCCAAGAAATGGGCCTCAAGATACTTTTTAAGACAAGAGTTATCTTTGTAAAATTTTTTGCCGAGTTCACAATGTATAATAATCATCCATTTGGAGGATAGATTGGAAGCTACGATTCATTTTAAATTTTTTTATATCTCAACTGGCTATCTTGGTCTCAAAATATTTGGGGATATATAAGTTGAAAGAAAAAAAAAAAAAAGATATTTTCGTCCTTCTTTAATTTTTACTGGTAAAAAATCCGAAGTTACATAAATTTAAATTATCCTTAATTTTAATAGATTTAATCATTTAATGGGTTATTAGAGTTTCCATAATTTTTTTTTATAAGACATAAAGCCATTATATACATTTCTTTTAAAAAATATTTCCCACAAATTACTCCAACTTTGAATACATTTAAAGTCACATTCAGAAATTACATCTGCAAATTACTGTTGAATTTCGAATCGAGAGCATCAAATTGATCGCTATTGTTGAGAAGTATCTAGACCACAGTTTCTCCGGTCACATTCATGGAGATTAATTACATAACTAGTGAATTAGCGTTGCAAACCAGAAATTTATCACTTTATTGCACCGACGATTTTTCTTGGTAAAGGAG